GTTACAGAGTAAAAAAAAAGACGCAAAGACTCTGAAATAAAGATTTCGAAATCTAAAAGTTCCTCAGAATTTTAAGGAAAAACATGAAAAGGGAACTATGTGATGTTTCCCTTAAATATTAAATACCTAACATTTTATTAAAGTCTATGTATTCCCTTCAATAAGAAGGAATATATTCAACAAGCTCAATAATATGCTGTAAATAAAGTGGAAAATTAGGAGAGGACACAGGCATGATTTTTCTTCTCTTACTGGTTACACAGCTCAAACATCCCACTTCTGAGTCTTTCTCTGAAAATGCTTTTATCTTGTGATGTACCTCACTTACACAATAGTTTGTTTAAGTAAGGGAGGTTACTTATGAATTAGATTTCAGAAAGATCTGTGGTAGGTCTTTCTCTCATTGTCTCTTTAGAATTTCAGTAATTTAAAAGAATTAGCCAGACTTACAATCACAGATCAGTATTTTAAATATGATTCCTTTCACCATGTTAAAAAAAAAAAAAAAAGATAGATCTATTTGATCATTTTCCTCTCTTAATATATTCTCCTTTGGTTTACCATAATTTGTTTGGCTAATTTAATTTTGGAACTAAAACCATTGAGAAGTGACTTATCTGTTGTGCCAAAGTTTCTTACCATGAAAATGAGCATTGTGCTCCACTGCTCTCTTCCTGGCTGATTTCCCCCTAGAACATGCACTGAGGCCCCAGATCTCACAGGTAGGCTCCTGGCAGGCTGCACTGCCGTCAGTATTTATACACAGAATATGCCTCCTGCAGATGTATTATCTGTGTCAACAGGACACAGGTGTGTCCTTAAACAACCTGCAGTGTGCCGCCTGAGAAGAGATCACAGCAAGTCACTAGAGAATTGGCTCTGGGAGGGTGAATCTGTTTGTGCTATCAGCCCTCTGACTTCCAAGGGATAATATGGACTAGTCTTACACAAGGCCAAAGTGGAAAAGAATGAAAATATGAAAGGGAGAGAGGAAGGAGAGAAGGAGGAAGGAAGGAAGGAAGGAAGGAAAGAAGGAAGGAAGGAAGGAAGGAAGGAAGGAAGGAAGGAAGGAAGGAAGGAAGGAAGGAAGGAAGGAAGGAAATTTTAATTCTAATCAACTTCACTTATTACCAAAGACTAGATATTTTCAAACAGTGAGTTCTTTAAACCCTACTGAAAATTTTACTCATCTATATTTTTTCATTCGGCTGCACGAGGTTAGGGATATTTATTCACATTGCAGTTCATTGTGTGCAGTTTTTCCAAATAAAGGTCTTCACACATACAAAAAACAGTAAGAGCCATGTTTCAAACCAACTGAATGAAAACTTCCATCGCTATGTGTCATGAAAAAATAGCACGCTGGCTCCGGAGGCCGATCCTGAAGCAAAGGAGTGGAGGGGAAAGGGTAAGATGGTCCTGAGGTGGGGAACATGAGGCTTCAGAAGACAGTTTCTCTTGCACTAACTGGTTTGGCTCAGTGGATAGAGCATCAGCCTGAGGACTGAGGGGTCCTGGGTTCGATTCCAGTCAAGGGCATGTACTTGGTTTCGGGCACATCCCTAGTGGGAGGTATGCAGGAGGCAGCTGATTGATGTTTCTAATTTTCTATCCTTTTCCCTTTCTCTTTGTAAAAAATCAATATACTATATATTTTTTAAAAAAGGTTGTTAGCCTCAGTTCATTTTTAAACCTTCTTTCAGAAAAAAGGCAACTTCAGGTTCCTGATAATGCTTGAAAGGCTCAAAATACAACATGAAATAGATGTTCCATTCCATTTTGCAAATGTCAACGTTATTGTCCAATTTGGTTTTAAGAAAGCAAGTTTGGATATTTCAAAAGTTCTCCACAATGACCACTGATGTTTTTAATGACTTTTGGGAAGATCAGCCCATTTAGTTAAGAATATACATGAGGAGGGACTGATGTTTTAAAACATAAATTTGGGTTTTACCCCTCACCCTGTTCTTTGAGTATAAATCTGCATTTGACCTTCTTAGAGTTGGCTGAGTCTAATCTCACTCTCCTCCAACTACAAAAACCCCATTGTAGGAGACTCCCTTGAATAAAGTCTGCCTTATGGTCTTAATAAGTGTAACAATTTTTTTTTGTTTGTTTCCTAACATACACCCCATGAAGTTTTTAGAGTAGAGAAATTGTTCAGAAGTAAAGAAACAAATGAGACTTTTAAAAGCAGGAACTGAGAGAAAGCTAAAAGCACTAGAAGGATCACTAGCTATGAAATGTAAGTCACTGCTGAGGTGGGGCAAGTCAATTTTGTTTATATAACTTTATTTTTATTATTGACACTATTACAGATGTCCTCATTTCCCCCCTTCGCCCACTTCCATCCAGTCCCCTCCCCGCCCCCGATCATAACCACACTGTGTTCTGTCTATGGGTTATGTATGTTCTTTGGCTAATCTCTTCACCTTCTATCATCCAATCGCCCCCTATCCCCCAACCTCTGACAGCTCTAAGTCTGTTCCATGTATCTATACCTCTGTTTCTAGTTTGTCATCAGTTTGTTTTGTTCATAGTGAGATTATATGGTACTAGAGGCCCAGTGCATGAAATGTGTGCACAGGTAGGATTCCCTAGGCCTGATTGGCAATCAGGGCCTATTGGGGCCTCTAGTTGCCAGCCAGGGCCTCCTTCCAGCTGCCGGCTGTATTTGTCTTTCTCTGACCGGCTTATTTCACTTAGCATGTTGTCATCTGTGAAGAAAGAAGCCTGATTGGGTGATGTTCAAGGTCTTTTGAGACTCTGGGGAAGAAAGAGCCTGGCAGTGATTCTCATGCCCTCATATCTCTTCTTGACACAGCCTAAAGTCCCCTAAAGGCCAGCAGTTAGATTGGATTAGTAAACATTAAAATACTTAAATTGTGCATTTATTATTCACATTTGCCGTTTTTTTTTTAAAGTTTATTTTATTGATTTCAGAGAAGGAGGGAAAAATAGAAACATCAAGGATGAGAAAGAACCATTGATTGGCTTCCTCCTGCACAGCCTCTACTGGAGATTGAGCCCACAACCCCGACATGTGCCCTCGACCAGAATTGAACCCGGGATCCTTCAGTCCTTAGGCAGATGTTCTATCCACTGAGCCAAACCAGCCAAGGCCCACACTTGCTTTACGACTGACAAGTACAGGGAATGAAACTGTCATGGTCCTGAAGAGGAGTAGACCTTGTGGGGTCATATTGCCCTTCAAGTCACAAGCTGAGCCCGGTAATTTTTTATAGTTGGATAGGACAGAGGGTGTCAAGTTATGTGATAAGAAAGTCTTAGAAGAGAGATAAGAAAAAGCCAGATTAAGTTTTTCTATTCAAAGTTTGACCTAAAGCAGAACTTGTTCTTTCTTTATCTTCACCACCTGGCCACTAAGTGGAAACTCCTCAAGGCTAGTCTTAGGTCCTCATTTCCTTTCCTACATTCTCTCCCTAAATGGGTTCAACCATGTCTTCTCTTTCAGATGTCAGCTACACACCAATACTGGCAGGTCCATCTCTACCCCAGACTTCTCTGAGTGCTGACCCTTAAATCTATTTATTTATTTATTTATTTATTTATTTATTTATTTATTTGGATGTCTCAAGTTTCCAATATGCCTAGATAGAACTCATGATCTTCCCTTCTCCTCCAAACTAGTTTCCTCCAGGATTTCCTATCTTCCACACTTCCAATTGCACAAGTCAGGATCTATAAATCATGCTTGGAATTCCTCTTTATCACTCTCTAAAGCCTACATATTAGAAGTCCCACTGGTTTTGCCTGGTGGTATTTGATGACTTTGGCAGCTTCCCTCCATTTCATCAGCATCTCCCCAGTCTAAGCTATGCTCATCTCTCATCTGGATTTGCAATAAATAGTTCCCTACTTGTCCGCAAATTCATTCTTGTTCTTCTCTTATTCATTCTTTACACCAAAGACATTTCAAACCACTCATCTGGTACCACTGTGCCTCCCTACATCACCCCTCATTCTCTATGGGCCTAAAGCTGAACTTAGATTCAGGAACACTTTGCTCTCCTTTTCTTTTTCTTCCTCCCACAACTTAATTCCAGGTATGAGGAGATGTGGACATGATTGTTACATGTGCTCATGTATGTCCTGATCTATCATATAAAGAAAGGTTCTGTTTGTCTCTTAATGTTTCAGAGAAAAATTACTGGAAGTACTTTTACTTAGGGTTAGTGATCTGACTTAAATCCGAGGCCTTGCGGTGTGGATGGAATTTATTTGGTAGAACTTTAGGCAACTTTCAGAGAAAGTGGTTAAAACAAGTCCAAGGAGAAGCTTGTGATGGTTGGCCTGTAGCGTAAATATACCGTGCAAGTTAAGCAGCTAGAGACAGAGGAAACAAAGTCATTTCAATATAAGCCACAAAGTAAAAACTCAGAAGTATAAAAGTTCAAATTGTATATGATGATTTGTAATCAACTTTCTCCTCTGAGCAGCTGCATCTAGTGAGCTTCCGGGTGCCAAGATATAGCTAAACAATCTACATAATGACTGTGAATAATTCTCCCAAGCCAAACGATAAGTAGACTTCTAGTTGATAGTATCAAATACCAGTCTTACGTTTCACTTTTATGGATTCACAAGTCATAATGATCTTCCCTTTTCTGAATTCCTAGAGTGGAAACTGAGAGGACCCAAAACCATTAGTACTTTAAAAAAATTCTTATATTGGTCTTTAATTGTTTCATGTGAATACTCAAGGCCAATCTATTCTCAACTATGTTTTATGTTTCTTCTGTACATTTTTCTTACCAGTCAGATGTGAGTGTTAACAATTAATAAATGATTGATTGATTGATTGATTGATTGGCTGACCAGAGGTACTGAATGTAGCTCTTACAGAACATGTATCTAGATTACTGAAATTTGATAGAATAATATTTGCACTGATCTGGGGATGTAAGGTATGCACCTCAGGTAAAAATAATAACAGCCTCATTTTCAATATTCTATTCACTTTTCTAATGGCTTTTAAATCAGTGTGCTTCAGGAAAAAGATTTGCAGTTTCTGAATGGGAGCTAAATATTTTCCCTGACACTATGTACTTGAGGGCTCTTCGAAACCATGGATAAAAGAAACCGTGAATGAGTGGGTTGCAAGTGGAATTGAAGTACCCGAGCCACACTAAGAGATCCAATATTATGATGGGGGTAGAATAGTCTAAATAGGGGTCGATCAAAACAGCAAGAAAACAAGGCAACCAGCAAGCTAAAAACACCCCCATCACTATACCCAGGGTCTTGGCTGCCTTCCTGTCCTTTTTCTTAGACAGATTTTTTTTCACTTCCTCCTTTGTGGTTTCAGGCATGTTACTGATAACTCGGGCATGTCGCTTGGAAACGATAAAAATTTTGCCATAAATGCCAACCATCATGGAGCCAGGAGTAAAGAAGCATGTAGTGAACAGTATTGTCCCCCAGAATTTGTTAAAAGTAAGTGCACAGAACTTGAAGCAAGCAACAAGGATCTCATAGCTCTGCATCCCCGATACATTGGCCTCAGAGAGAACTAAACCGAAAGAAAAGAGAGCTGGGGCCGACCAGCAAAAGGCCAGCAGTCGCTTTATCATGGAGGGGGTCATGGTGGTTGTGTAGTGTAGAGGGTAGCACACAGCATAAAACCGATCGATAGCGATAGAGCAGAGGTGGAAAATGGAGGTCAGGCTCAGCATCATGTCAAAGCTTGCGTGGAATTTGCAAAAGCCCTCCCCAAAGTGCCAGCAGCTCTCCACGGACCGCACCATGCTGTAGGGCATGATGACGAATCCCAGCAGGAAGTCCGTGGTTGCCATGGAGAGGATCAGAAAGTTCGTGGGGGAGTGAAGCTGCTTGAAATGGGATATGGAAATCATGATGACCAAGTTTCCAAAGATGGTGATCACCATGGCTCCAGTCATCATCGAATACATGAGCACCCGGACTTGGAAAGGGCGATTGGTGGGAGGGCAGGATTTATTTCCAAGGTCTGGACAACTGGATAAGTCTTCAGGAATGTAAGCGACATCCATGGGGCTTTATCTTTTCAGATTGTTTTTCTAGGAAGGTGAATCCGTGTTTCTTCTCTTCTTAAAGTAAGTCCAGTAAGTGTCAACTCCTAATAGTACAATAAAATTCAAAGTCACTTGTTATTCAGTCATTGCAATCATAATTTATTTAAGTATTTCAAATAAAAGCAGTTGCGTTTGCTTTCTGAGTTATTTGCTGCATTAGAAAATGAAACATCTTAGTTCTGCTTACCTTCCCTGTTTTATTCTGTTAAATCTCTTTCCGTATATTCATGCAATATGGGCTTATCTACTGACTGCTTGACTCCTGATAATGTATTGGAAGTTTTTCAAGAGTTTATTTCATTTAGATGAGCTATCTAATATAACCAAACTCGCCGAAGCCGGTTTGGCTCAATGGTAGAGCGTTGGTCTGTGGACTGAAAGGTCCCAGGTTCGATTCCGGTCAAGGGCATGTACCGTGGTTGTGGGCACATCCCCAGTAGGGGGTGTGCAAGAGGCAGCTGGTCGAAGTTTCTCTCTCATCGACGTTTCTAGCTCTCTATCTCTCTCCCTTCTTCTCTGTAAAATATCAATAGAATATATTTTAAAAAAATAATATAACCAAACTCATAGAAGCAGAGAATTGTGGTTACCAGAGGTTAGGGTGTGGGGGAAATAGGCAGTTTTGTTCAATGGTTATAAAGTTGCATTTATGTTAGATGGATAAGTTCTAGACAGCTGCTGTACAACATAGTGCCTATCTATCTATCTATCTATCTATCTATCTATCTATCTATCTAGCCTTATATGCAAAATATACCCATGGGAGTTCAACTGGAAGACTGATCACATCTCTGTGACATGCACTGACCACCAGGGGGCGGCACTGAACGCAAGAAGACCCCAATTGGCAGCTGGCAGCCTGGGATGGGAGGTCCTGGTTGGCATGCTGGCAGCCAGGGTCATTTATTAAAATCTGCATTGTTGTTGCCCTAGGTGGTTTGGCTCAGTGGATAGTGTCAGCCTGTGGACCAAAGGATCCCAGGTTCGATTCAGGTTAAGGATATGTACCTCAGTTGCAGGCTTCTCCCCTGCCCAGGTCCTGGTCAAGGCAAGTTCAGGATGTAACCAGTCAATGTGTTTCTCTCACACAAATATTCCTCTCTGTCTTTTCTTCTCTCTTCAACTCTCTCTAAAAATCAATGGAAAATGTCTTCAGGTGAGGGTTAAAAAAAATATGCATTTTTGCCATAAAAACAATTGGTTCAATATGCCTAAAATTTTGCTATAAATGAATAGACTAGTTCAATGAGCACTGTTCATGAAATTATGTTTTGGTATCAAATTGCTCCTGATGCTGGTTATGAAATAACCTAGAGCAGCAGTTAGACAAGCAGAGTGGACAGAGTTGCTCTAGACATGTTTTGCTGATCCCTTGGCTAGTGAGAAGAGAACCTAAGATGTTTATATCAGAAAGAGCTACAAAGGAGAAAGAAAAGAAAAAAAAAGCTGAACTTGGGAGGTGGTGGCAGGGGTGGCTCAGGAGCCTCCTTGGTGTTTTAAGGACTTGTTAAGATGCATTTGTAGGATTTTTTTTCAGTCCCTGACTCAATGCTTAGCACCTTACCTACCACATGTGGGAGTTGGGTGTTTTCTTCCAGCTGAAACTCAGATACTCCCAAAAATGAAAGAAAATACTGTGTTGGAGATCACAGACTTACAATTAAATTTACACAGTGTTTAGGTCCATGAACATATATGCAGTTAAAGTATATTATAATCCAGAAAACTGCCACACCTCAATTGCCCATATGATCTCAATGATCACAGCCATGACACTGAAACAACCTGACATGGCTGTTGCATACAAGTAACTGCTCAATCTGTTTTTCAGGATCAGGAGGATTCTATGATGTGTTTCAACCTGAGATCAACTCTTCCACCATGCACACTTATGTTTATAGAAAGGAAACTTCATATATTTTTAGAACTGGAAAAAATGAAAAAAACCTCAAGTAGAATGTTTACAAAGATTTAGCATGTGCTATTGTTTCCAGCCCAGTGGCTAATATACATTCCACAGAATGGCTTTGAAATCAGGCGGATCTGTGTTTCATAATTGGTTATACCACTTGGCAACCATATTAGTTTAGAAAGATGTCTCTAAGCCTCAGCTCTTTCTTTTATAAATTAAATGTAATATAGCCTATTCTTGATTCAGAGATCAGAAAGAACATATGAAGAGCATCTCTCTGGTAAGCACTCAACAAAACCCCCATTCACCAGGTTTTACAACTATATTTTGTTTTCTAAATGACTGATTTTCAAATAAACTTTGGCTTGATAACTTGCTTATAAGTTTGGAAGCTGTTTATGAAGAAATTTAGGGCCATTCACACTATTTCGATCTTCCTCCCTGCTTTTTCTTGTAAGAATTCTGGCATTTCCTTTGATTTTGCCCTTTGGTGAGACTTCCATGTTAACTAGTATATTGAATTGCCATTTTTGTATGTCAAAAATGTTCAAATATTAATAATTACTCACTAGGGTCTTTTCCTTTCTCCCCATTTCAATTTCAAGCACTGACTAATATAAAGGTTGGCATATCTCTACTCATAAAAAATTATGAGTCAGATTTTCAATGCAAGATTATATTTGGGAGCTAAAGCTTACTGAAGAGGCATTTCAAAGAGCTGCACACATTTAGTTCCGTGGGAGGAAGAGTTTGCCCAACAGCAAACTCTAGGTTCAGAATCTAATTTTTATAGCTTTGAAATACAAATGGCATATACGATGTAGTATATAATTGTAACTTACAATCCATGGTTCTAACAGAGAGAGGCAAATACATTCACATGTTATCTTTAAGTTACCAACTAACACAAGTGTCACCATTTCCATAAAACATATTCCCCCCTTCTTGAACTGAGCTCTACCGTGAAGTTACCTTTGCTATTCTATATGTTTGTATGGACAGATATGTAAATTAATCCAAATTATAATTTTTTTATTTTTATTTCTTGAAAAACCATCAGATAAGAAGGATCAGCAAAGGAAAATATGAGCAATTTGTGTAGTAAACTGATTCAAATTAAATGTAATAAGAAACAAACTTTTAACTCTACCCAGCAAAGCTATCACTCAGAATCGAAGGCCAGATAAAGAGCTTCACAAATAAAAAAAAAAGCTAAAGGAGTTCATCACCACCAAACCAGAATTATGTGAATTGCTGAAGGGGTTATTTAGAAAGAGGAAGAAAATAAAGATAAAAATTATGAACAACAAATACGTAACTATCAATAAGTGAAACTGAAAACCAGGGAAATTAAAAAATCTGATGAACAATATTAACTGGTGAATATAATAGAATCGGAGGTATGGAGGGTAGTGAGTCGACTGAAGATTCTCAGGGAAAAGGGGAATGGGGGATGCAGGAAGAGCCTGAACAAAAACTGTGCACCTATAGATGAGGACAATGGAAGGTGGGGAAAGGGCAGAGGGTGGGGTGGGAACCTGGTGGAAGGGAGCAATTGAGGGGGTGGGAGTGGGGGCGAGAGGAACACATTTGTAATAATCTGAACAATAAAGATTTATTTAAAAAAAAGAAACAAACTTTTAAAATGTTCTATTTAAGCACAAATATGGATAATTTCCATAAGTAATGTGCTTTCTTTTCCTCCTTAAAGTCTGATTGCCCCATACTCCTGGAATTTAAGGCTAAAATCTAAAGAAGTTTAGCTGATTAGGTAATTGCTTAAGAGAACCACATAAAATTTCAAACTAGCCCCTCTGACCACTTCTAAAGGCTTGCTCAGGATGTGCTGTGTAGGAGGAAGAGTTTCTTATGAAACCAGCACTCATTTAAAGACCTAGAATTACCATGAACAGTGATTACTGCATCATTTCTCTTACCACAGGTCACAAGATAAGTCAAATTTTATAAAATCTATTTAAAAATTGAACTTAAGTGATAGTAAATTTTTAAATACAGATTCTATTTTTAAAGCTACAATGTCAGTCTTAGCCTAAAAGCAAATTCCATCCAAAAAGAAAATTTGTATTAATTTTTTTATTAAACTTGTTAAGTAAAAACAACAGGGTGGCAGTACAATTTCACAAGTAATTTCAAAATGTAGACTAGTATCTTATTACAAATCTGTAAGTGGTCTATGTAGTATAATAAAAAAGGTAAGCAAAGGCTTGAAATTTATGAAAACTCACTGTATTGTATCTTTTCTGATTTTTCTTAATATCTAATATAGATGGTAATAAATATCTAAAGACTGAAATTGCAAAGACTACTTCAAAGCCATTTGAGGGATGACAATAAGTTGACTACATTCAAGTGTAGCACTAAAAAATGAAATAAACAGAAGAAAATAATTTCTTTTATAAATCTACTTTGTAACTATCTATGTTAATTTACACATCATGACATCAAAATGCAAAAATAGTATCTGACATGTAAATGACATGTATTCTACATACTTACAGTGCACAGGTAAGCCCCACAAGCCACAGGGCAGGTGGCAGCGAGCAGAGATACGGAAACTGTTGCCTTCATAAAAGCAGCTGGGAGTAAGGGACAGTGATTCCACTCACAGACCAGGCTGAGCAACCTCCGTTTCAGAGCACAGGGCCTGAGAGAGGGAGAGGTAAAAGCGAAGCACAGCTTCATTGATGTGATTAGCTGTACACTGTCATCACTGGAAAACTAGCAGAAGAGAAGATCTATTTTAAAAATATATATTTTATTGATTTTTTACAGAGAGGAAGAGAGAGGGATAAAGAGTTAGAAACATCGACCAGCTGCCTCCTGCACACTCCCTATTGGGGATGTGCCCACAACCAAGGTACATGCCCTTGATCGGAATCAAACCTGGGACACTTGAGTATGCAGGCCAACGCTCTATCCACTGAGCCAAACCGGTTAGGGCAAAAGAGATCTTCACTAAAACTAAGTACCAGAGAATGTTAGAAGTAGGAAACAAAACAACAACAAAAAATTGCTCTAAGTAAAT